AAGGCTGTAAACCTAATGCACATATTATAACTAAAACATTGGAATTGACTAAGGGTATTAAACATGTACTTGATTTGTTTTTAGAATGAAGGAGTAGATGAAAGTCGTGACAGACTACGGTATGAACACTTTGAGTATTCCTTCAAATTATCTTTGTAAAATTTAATAAGAAATTGYGCTGTAGAMAAAGGATTTCTGTGCAACTATTTTCCAAATGTATCCCATCCCTTTGTATACTTTGTAGAAGTTACAGYATTACTCCAAAATAGTATGTTTAGGTCTTGTAGTACTAGGTCTGTGTAGTCTGTAGAAGTTTCAATGCTGATCCATTTTCAGGTCCTGCAGTACAAGTAGTGGAGACGATGAAATATCTCATGGGTCTCCRTTAACACAAGTTGTTAATTTAATGGATCTAGAGCTTACAACAGGTATGTAGTTCTATTAGAACCTCCTAGCATTAATAACATCTACATTAACATCCGATGTGTAAATAAAGCATTAAAATGTTTGTGAGMTATAAATCCTGAATATAGATAATAAAATCTACCACTACCACTGACCATAAGACTTAAAGTGTACTGAGAATCTTTTTGGATTTACCTATAAAGTATGAGGGCAATATGGGTGGGTGATATGCATGGGTGCATGTAATATGGGTGGTTGATACATGTTSCTAATGATGTAACAGGGGTTTATTGAAGAAAACTATAAAAAGTATTGTTTRTTTAATCTCAAAATATGACTTTTCTTAAAATTATTGTACACCTTAAAATAATATGCTAAAACATAAAAAATAACCAATTGATTTACAGAAACTTTTGTGGCTACGCTAGCATGATTTTCAGAGAGGCTCTGAAAGTCAGAGTACAGTATGGCTACACCCGCTTGCACTAGAATTTTGTGAATAGTCATTTRTAGTTATCTGTAATAAAGATTTAGAAATGAACATTTATAAATGTATATCCTTAATGAAAATAAGACTTGACATGATCATTGTTTGTGTTAATAGATTTAGTCCATTCACACCACGATACACTCTTCACAACCAAGACAAAGCCGGTCCCAAAACCTGCTRTATCTGGTMAGYRTAWRRATASACACAGTGTGGTAGATTGGTTTTCATTAAGCCRTGAATTATACTTTATTACTCTTTAATTGGTACATTTTTCATCCTTTCGATGCATCAAAATATATATCACASATCAACTGTTATACTTTGTTTCATGGGTCAATGAAAACCATTGTATTATTGCAGAAAGACAGCATTTATGATATATTATAGATAGTAATAGTCAACTTTAGATATTTTGGTTCGATGACTATGTACAAAAGAACGCACACGAGGCTCCGGGGAAACAATGGATAATCTTGATTTATTCTTTTATTTCCCTGGAGCCTCGTCTGCAATTCTTTTGTGCATGGTCACTGAACCAAAATATCTAAAGTCGACTATTGTGATGTATTATGTCCTAGAAATTGTATTTCAACCATCGTTGGATAGTTTGCAACCAAACCTGGATGAATTTACCAAACACCTTGAAAGTTTAGTTGGTAGGTGGCTGGGTTAATGTTTCTCCTAGTTACAATGATAATATTATATGGCAGGGCAGCTCTTTGATGAAGCTAATAATGAAGAAGCAAT